CTATATAAATGCGTTTCGGTCGTAGGTCCATGATCCAGGGTGGTAGGCAGCTGAAAATATCTTGACAAAAGATCTAAATTGAACGTCGAACCATATAATTAATATTCAAAAGAATTTGCCGGGCGTTTATCCGGCGACCTCTGATACTCCGTGTGTTCACCCTTGGTAATCCTACATCAGACTGAATCTGCTGGGATAGTTTGTTTTTCATTTTTGTACTTTGATATACCAAAATATTTATTCCACACACGTTTAAACCCCGACATATGCGCGGCATTTCTGTTGAACTGTTCCAGACAGCGCTTTAATCATTGAGCCCACAGGCGGCTGTGCCGTCACATGAACAGAAGATGATACTGGCTTGGCTTGGCATTGAATCGAAACGTGTCTAACGTTAGAATAGGAGTACCGTTGGCGTTAGTGCACTTAAATCAATATTTGGTAGAATGGAGCCTTAACTGCCATTATCACCAAACAAGTATCATACAGATCCTAGGTTAAGGGGTGCGAACATATTAGCGGAAGTTATATTTGAATGTGTGAGCATGACCCTAGATAACGTCAGTGGTGATTCAACTGATTCACGTCGCAAAGAAGCTTAATAAAGATATAGTTATGGATTACGAACAGATCTTGTGTAATTAACATCTCCCCAACACATACACACACAGACACGCCCACACGCACTCAACAACCCGTGGAGAAGATCTCCTCAGTGGTGTAGTGGATAGTGAGTGAGTATGGTTTTACGCCGTTTTTAGCAATATTCCAGCAATATCACGGCGGGGGACGCCAGAAATGGGCTTCACATATTGTACCCATCTCGGGAATCGAACCCGGGTCTTCGGAGTGACGATCGAACGCTTTAACCACTAGGCTTCCCGACCGCCCCGATGTAGTGGATAAAGTGTCTGCACGATTATGTGTCTGCACCGGAAGGCCGGTGTTTCGAGTGAGTGAAGGAGTGAGTTGGGTTTAACGCCGCTTTTAACAGTATTCCGGTTATATCACGGCGTGTCAGCTAAATGTGGGAGGAAAGCCCGAAGTGATGCAGGTCTCAGACGTTTACCTCTTAGGTGAAACCCACGAGCACGGGTATGGTGCTGACAAACCTAGAAACATAATCGCGGCGAACCGAGATTCAAACCCATAATCATAGGTTTCTGGCGTGCCGAAGGGACGCAACTCTGCACAGCGAATCGCGGCGCCTTAGACGACTGGGCCACCCGTGCCCCCCGGTGTTTCGATCCCCTTGTCGGGTCGCGTCTTACCAAAAAAAATTTGAAAGATGGTACGTGTTGTTACCCTGCCTGGCGATCGGCATTAGGGGATAAAACAAGGACTGGTCCGCTGCATACGCCTGGACAAGTACAAGCAGCCACACACAGACACACACACAGACACACACACAGACACACACACACACACACACACACACAATCACACACAATCACACACAATCACACGCAAGCACGTACACACAGATACACGCGCGCGCCTATATGCACGTCGTTATACGAGTTAAATAATCTTAAACGCGATATTACATGCCATTTCACCTCACCGCGAAAGGAAACGCATCTGGAAGTGTCTCGAATATTGGTGATGCGACAAAAGATGAAGTTATCCGTTCTTCGAGACAAGCGGAATGTCATATTAACCATATTATCGTCAACGATTCTAAAATGAAACAGTTTTATCTTCGTAAATGATGTATCAGGTTAAAGGTGTTAGAAATTCCAATGCATCTAGAAAAACAATTCGATTAATTGATTTCATTCTTTAGTTCAGTTATACATCAGAAATACTGTTAAGTCATTCTGGACCTGTTTGGAGAGGAAGGGGGACACGTTGAAGGGCAAAATGGCTACTGCGAAAGTGAAAGTCGAGTGACCTAGATATGTGTACGTACCCACAGGTCTGTATATCACTGTGACATCTCGTTAATTATAGGAATTCTTCATCCCTACTGGTCACTGACAGAGAATGGGAGTCAAGCGGTGGAGATGCGATGTCTCAAGCCAGATAGCGTGTCATCTATCACGTGATTAGCAATTTACAGTTAGAAGCGCGTGAAATCACGCGGACCGGAATGTGGGCTATTCATCACTGCATTAAACATAATATTATTTAGACACTAATATACAATCACAGGTCATTCAGCGAAAAATAATTCATGGATCTGAATAATTTTGGGACCTCTTTCTTCAGAATTTGTTCTGAACTCGTTCATTAACGAATAAAATCTAATAATCTCTACTGCAGTGGTCATATTTTGAAAAGCAACCATTTTGATGGATATAATTTCTGGGAGGCTTTCTTAGTTATGATAATATTTTCTCAATCCATTCATCACTGATTAAAACATATTCAAACCGAATTATCCTATGATGATAAGAAAACAGCATATTTGACATGGGTATTTGTCCCCAAAGCCTGACAGTGTAACATCGACCTGCCCAGTAATACTGTTGATAAAGAGAGGTGCAGCATGCAAGCAGTTGATACGGAATTCCATTAAATAAGTACCATGTATTCAACGCAACAACATTTAATATATTCATTTATTATTCCGAATGTTGACCTGCCGTCGATGATCAACACACAGTGGTGTATGCCCCACTTCTTGAGAAATGTATTCTGCATTGACCCAGAAACAATATTGCATTTAATTATCCTTGTCTTAAGCATTTGCACTATATGTTCGCGGATATTTTCAGCTGTATTCACAGAAACTGGGACATTATTGTTGCGGTCATGGAGTAAATTGGTATGAAAATGAGTTAGGAATGAGGGGTCGTCTCAAATATCTCGGATCAATTTCTGAACTTCTGTGACAACTGCATGAAATAACTGTGCATGTACATGGCTACACATTTTCGTGGATGGTAACTAAGGCATTGGACATAGGGTCACAGGGCAAATTTGAAAGTGAGTTAGGTATGAGGGGTCGTCTCAAAGACCTACCACCAATTTAATCATACCATTGACTACTGCATGAATTAATCGTTCATATACATGTACATGTGTCCACATTTCCTCGATGATAACTAAAGCATTGAAGTTGAGGTCACTGGGCAAATTGGGTATAAAAGTGAGTTTGGAATGAGGTTTTGTCTAAAAAATCTGGGTTCAATTTAAAAATTCTTTTGCCAATGAATTAATTAATTTTGGAAGTATATACATAGCTTGAATGGTGTCTGCTTGTTCAAGTCCGGACAAATGCCGTTCTTATAAGGCCAGCCCACCGAGATGCCATGCCGAAGTTTAACTTAAATACCCACTCATACACAATATACTCCGACCAGCCCCCTTGTTTTAGCCCCCTTAATGCCATAAGCAAGGCAGTACCATCTTTTAACGTCTTTTGGTATGACGCGGCCGAGGATCGAACCCCCGACCTTTCGCTCTCCGGACAGAGGCTCTACCACTTGGATTTGATGACTCTTACGGAAATCGATGCGTAGGGAGAGCGTCCGTCCCAATAAAGACGTGACTAATAATGCTTTTGAAAAGAACCACTTTCACACCGAAAAGCAGTAGCTTTTGTCAAGTATTGAAGATGACAGCAACGTCTCATACATCTATTAGGATAGAGGATGTTCAAACAGAACACTGATGAACATTTGGAATGATGTGAACGGATAATAAAGATACACTGACGTGCCTACTTGAAATCCTTTATTCTGCCAAAGTTTTAGTGAAGCACGACAAACAGCGCATTTCAGCCACGGGAAGTTAATGTGTTGGTCGGGTTTAATATTCCCGACACAGGTCTTAAAGCGACGTGAAGTTTCAACATCCAGTAACCTGTATCAGAGCGGGGGTTTGCAGGGCCCTAGGGACTTCTGGCTGTGAACTATATTGAATTGGTCATGCCAGTCTGTTGAAGCCGAGATTCTCTCGTTTGATCTTGGTCTGTAGCGCGGAAATGTTTCACCGAGATCAAATATGTTATCAGCGATACGGCGATTGTGAGGATTTTGCACCATACATTTTCATTACTTGATTATTGTGGTTTTCGTTTGCACCTTTTATGATAATATCTTCTGGGAAATGCTTTGACACAAACAAGGGTGTTGATTTGTACTGTACATGATCTATTTTCTTTGCAGATGGGAGTGTCTAGACGAGGTAAGTGTGTGGTTGCAGTCGGGTCTGTGTATCAGTAGTAATCAATGTGGCGTTCGTCCAGGATACGGAAAATTACAGAGCGTTTCCTCTTAAGCGAGCGGAGAACGATTAAATAGGAGTAACACGGAATTAATTTGTTGTTTCATTTCTTTGAATAAATTTGCTCATAACTTAACAGGTCATGAAAGTTGAAACATATGTTCCTTATCTCAACGAGGTCTCTAACACACGAAAGGGCTAAACGGATGTTTTCTTTGAGCGAGTCATATCTTTCTTACCCACAATGGTATTTTTCTGAATATCCGGATTTGAACAGAGTTATCTTTCTTGCTTATTTATGTCGCCATGTTTGCTAACACGTTTTCTGCCTGTTATGTGGTCGTTTTAGAAAACAACTTCGATGAAAAAATGATTTTTATGACCATAGTATCGAAAGGCCACAACCTTTTATCCATTTTATATAAAACAAAACAATGTCTGTGTTTCTTTATAAGAAAACATAAGTTCAAAAGACAACAATTAATAACTCTAAGGTGGACATTAATATAATCCATTTAAATGAGAAAACATTCTGAGAAATGTAATTGTAATTTCAATTCAGTGAGATGTCTTGAAAAAAAGGCTTGGTCCTTGATTTAAATGTGATTGATTTCCATGGTATCAACCAATTTGGAATGTAAACCAATTTCCTGTGAAGATCGAACGAACAGCTTGAACACTTCCCCACACAGAGTTGTATATCCAGTGGATTCTCCGTGAGGAAAAGTGTTGCACTAAATCATATACAATGCTTTACTTTGTACATCATAACCACGACGTCCTTGAGATTTAAGATTAACTATTCTATATAATTTATAACAGCCTACCTCAGCTCCCCACTGTCCGTCATAAACTTCAAACAGCTCATAGTCAAATTCAAGCTCTGCGCTGAGTTCGAACAGAAGGTCTATGCTTAATCCAGTACAGCACTTCGTATCCGTCTCGTTACTCAGTCTGCAAAAGCATATTGACATGTTAACACGCAAACCGAAACACGTTATTCTGACCCATCAATTAGACCGTAGTTTATCATTCACAAAATGTTCAACACAAATCCCCTAAACAAAGCTTAATTTGTAAATGTATGTAACACAAAATCGATTATTGAAGAAAAGGACTGGTAAAACGAAATCTAATTCACAATGATAGCATTTTAGTGAGCATGGCAAAGTAAAGATAGTGCACCGCCTTGCCTTGCGGTAATAACAGACGAACGTGGCCTTCGAGTCGGTGCCGCGTGGGTCTTGCAATATGGCCTTTGGTGCCAGCAGTAAGGGATTGTCAGGCTGAAATCTCCAGTTGTCATTACGATATTACGATATATGTCGATTCGGATGGTAATTATACAAACATGGTTTACCGCGAGTGAGATTATGAGTGACATATCTCTCCAAGCTGCTGTGTAAGGAGGTTCATTTAGATGTTTGAGTGCATCGTGCCAATATCACACTCTGGGACAACGATTACTCGTTCCATCATGGTAATAAGGCACTGATTCACACCACTTGTAGTTAATACACTATCTGTCCAGATAAGTCAGCATCTAACACTTGCCGCAATAAACTAGGAACTGTTCCACTATGCACGACTGCACAGATAATATGCCAAATTGTTTTCTGGAAGAAAGGCCACGTTTATTGGCTCCAAGAAAACCTTGTCAACCAACATTCTTTTGATTTTGTTGTGTGTATTACGTTAATGCTGCGACAACCTTTAATGTGTTAATTGACTGTCAAAAGGAGTCATATCTCAAAATGAAAAATCAATGATAAAATAATTGGAATTCCATACACAAGACGTTAACTTATGATTATACTGCTACGATATTGTAGCATCCTGGATAATTAAATAACATCCTGAATTGGCTCCTCTCCAAATAACTACAAAAAGGACTAATGATATATCGCGACGGTCCATTTACAATACTTCTTTTATTCAGAATCGGTATCTCTGAACACTATCATTCGGAAACGGCAGGGCTTTTCAAAGCAACATTAAATCTAAAATTACAGTGCAAGCGAATGTTAAGTCGACCATGTATGCAACATGATCCGCTTTCTGTTCATTGCATAACGAAATTACGTGTATGAGCATGAAACATAAAGTAATTTATAAATAAAATAATCAACAAATGAATAAATGAATTTATGTTTATGGGCTTAAATCTACGTTTATTGCTGTACCTTTATTACATTATCAGTGAAAGTAATAACATTATGGTTTAGCAGACAAAAACATATTGTCGTAAACACATCATCAAACATGGTTTATGGTATCGCGTATGACTGGGTCACTAATTGGAATTGAATTCCAAATGTTTAATGTGTATAAATTCGCGAATTACATTTTAGCGGTTTTGAAACGAAATAAACTCCATCGAGTATCAGTAAACTACAGAATAGATAATATACAATCGAGTCAATGATACCAGAGAAAATATTCGTCTTATATTCAGATCGATACAAATACCACACTGGAACCAGTTCGCTAATCTACTTTATTCTGATATTGTCCGGTGTGACAACTTAAACTTCGGACCTAATAATGTCAGTGTGTGATTAAACATCAAAATGTAAATATGAAATGTAGATTATGTCATGAATTTAATGAGACTGTCCAACACATTATCAGTGGATGCACAGCTCTGGCACATACACAGTACCTTAAGCGACATGATGGAGCGGCTCGATCATTTTATTACCGTCTTCGCCACGCTTGTGGTTTTGACACAGAGGTCCATCTATGGTACGAATATGTAGGGGACGTCATGGAAAATGATCAATACAAAATTCTTTGGAATAGGCCCGTATACAACCACAGACGTATCGAGGCCAACGAACCTGATCTTGTCCTTTTTGATAAATCCAATGAAATCAATTATATTATGAATTTTCTGTTCCTTTTGACACCAATGTGATTGAGAAGATTTAGGAAAAACATGGCATCTGAGTAATGCAGAAGGTTGCAGCGTTGGGGAGTCTTCACATTCTCCGAAAAGTTATGGGTGGGTTTGACTAGGCAGCGCTTCCTGGGAGAAGTCCCATTCGCTGTCTGGGCTGCGTGTAGATGGGGCAATGGGCCCTGAACTGATAATGAGCCTAACCAGCCTGACAGTGCCAGGATCACCCAAACCCTCTTTGCTTCATTTTTTAATTTTACTCTACACATAATAATAATAACCTAAATTGGGGACAATTGGGGACAAACATACCACAGATTGGTGTTTGTTTCCTTAAAGTATTAGTGTTGGACATTCGTGATTCTTTAGGTTCGTTAATGGCCTATGATAATCTCAACTGGTCCCACATTGTAGCCTCATTTATGTAGATATGATGGCAATGTGGTCAGAAATGGCCATGTGAAGTGACCATCAATGCCTGATTCCTTCACCCCTAAAGTGTAATTGGTTTCAAAGTTAGTGTGAACAAGGTCTGAAAACTCCCTGGAGTGTTTTGAGACCACATGCATTATTCATTCATGAAAATATTCACCGTTTGAATGTTTCCTTGTCCCGAGGGTATACCTCACAGGCGACGGTATGAGGCCCACACACGCCCCCTTGTGGCATTTCTTGGTAGATAACATACGGGTTCTCTCTTAACGTTGCTATTCTGAGAAAACGACGTTTTGGTTTTCCCTTTGGTGGACCAAGAGCCTCCCCGGGCCACGTGATACGACGCATGGATAAGCCTTCTCGTGTCCATTGACCGACCTGGAATCATAGGATAAAAAAGAACCTTTGACAATAAGGAATAAATTCTTAAGGCGTCGTAAACATTATTTCTTATTTCATTTTCTGAGAAATGTTGCGTTGCAATTTCAATTGGCTGGTGGTTTGTTAATAAAAAGCTGTATTGTGGTTTTTTTCCTATTCTCTAGAGCTTCATTGCTTTGAGTCATCTTGCAAAAAAAGGATAAGGAACTTTTGGGGCTGGTTTGGAGTCATTATGGCTGTGGGAAACGATTACGAAAATACAATATCTGTATCTTTGTGTTTTGTTTGGATTTTCGGATTTTGTTTTTTTTCAGAGATGATTATAACAGCTGAATTCATAATTTTCTTGAATTAAAAAAATCCACATATGCTGTTAACGATGTCTAACTGAGAATTGCGGGCATTTCGTTATCTTAAAAAAATTAATTTCCTATGGTATTATCACTTAGAGTGGTTTGTAGTTTCCATTTACATGAGTATTCCAAAATGTGTTAATTATTTCAGTTATCATAACTATACAGCACAAGATATGGCCATTGAAAACCATGAGTATGCTGTCATTGCAGTAAGCCTAAGGCATTTACTCAATACTGTAAACTGTAAAAAAAACTGTAAAAATGTGTGTCTCAATATAATTGGTTGACACGTGATTCAGATGAAATCTTTGGGCCTTATCACGGCGTGTGAATACTTTTCTTTCTGAATAACGATTTCCTCGGTCTCTAAGTGTTAAAGATGCGTAGTATTTCCTGAAAATTGAATTCATAGTTAGTATGATTTAAGTTTTTTTTAAATTCTCATTATATAATAATTACCAAGGTTGTTCGAATGTCAGGACAGTATACGTTCTTAAAGCGACAAAATCCATTTCATATTCATAAGAAATCTCTGTCAACAGTCGATTATATGATTCAGACAATATCATGAGCACGTTTTCACGGATCACAATAGCGATGATACTAGGTGTTCGCGGAAAGGTGAGCGAATGGTGTCTTATCGGTGGCACCCGTCACAACCACATGCTAAAGCAAGGCAGTTGCTCACCGGAAAACTAACACGGGAACATATGGTACAAGTTAAAATAGGGGACTGCATCGGGCACCATTTTTGTCAACGATGCGTCAGATTTGAAAATGTTGTCCACATGTCTATCATAATACATATTGAAAGCTTTACTGGGGCCTTAAATGTTGTAACTTTAATCAAACAGCTTTTGAGAAAGATTCGCATGACGCTTTTTAAAATCTCCGAGGAAAGAGAGTGCTCGGTAGAGCCTCAAAAATTTTGAAAAGTAGACAACAAGGCTGGAGCTGCTGTAATATTGCTCGACATAGAGGGAAAGCCGACTATTGTGCTCGACATAGAGGGAAAGCCGACTATTGGAACGTTGAACTTGTCATACAGTCTCGTGGAAAATCTTTGGTCATTCTGAATCTGTATGCATAGATCTAAATATGAAAGAGACGTCTCACCAATGTCTCCTCTATTTCTAGTTGGGTAAATATGTGAAAGGGAATTATTGTGATTCTTATTTGATTGTTATATGACGTCATCCATTTGTCGTTGATCTTCCGGCATTCCAGAGTGACTTTTCACTTCCTGGTATGTGAGCACACGTAGGAAGAAAGTGCCACATATATTGTGTATCTGTTAATATTCATATCTACAATGTCGCTAAATAATACGTAACATCTCTTATATGGTGTTAGTTACAGTTGTATTACAATCAGCACACTGAAATCATGGACAGATGATAGACATTTAGGTTACAATTTCTATCTTGGTCCCGTTTCACAGCGCCAGCGTGACTCTACGAGTTGTAACGCCTCCAATTGATGGGAGTCGTAGCAATATATATTTGTGAAACATGGCCCGTTCCTTTCATACAACCCTATTATATATTTGACTGGTATAACTGTTGATATCAAATACCATACAAGGACTTAATAATGGATATATGTAATCAGTAGTACATAACATAAAAAATCAAGATGAAAAACAAGCAATAAACACTCCATTGGTCCTTTATCCTGTGCTGCATTAAGTCATTTGTTTTCATTGTTACAGTTACTTATTTTGTATGAAACATTTCATAAAATGTTCATTATTATCACATTACATTTCAAAACACAAATATTTGCATAATAACTACCGCTGAAATTTTAATGTAAAATATATATCAAAATGATAAATCAAGTATCAAATTATACATATAGTCTACTCACACTCATCGATAGGTGACTTAAAGAGATAGTTGATGTTCGCTAACCAGGAATTATAAACCATACCACTGTCCAGTTTTTGCCGCCTTTAAGACTGTTTCGTTGTATATTGATGATCTTCAGTTTGGGATGCATCAACTGTCCGGCTGCATTAAAGTCGATTTCCTGGCCCCCCTTGTTGATCATAGAGACACTTCGAAGTTTTCTACGGAAAGCAAATATTAATCTCTCATTAGTGTTCTTGTAGAATCTGTAGTTATTCTTTGACGCAGATTAATCAATATTTACTGGCGAAATTAACACTTTCACATTTTCAATGCTGTGTTTATTGCCGTTGAAAATAGGGATAGTTATCTGAGTAAATAAACTAGTCGGCATATCAATGCGACCATTAATATTTTCGGCAACTGCCTCGTAAACATTTGGATGGCTTGTGAGATTTTTTATCACTTTGCATTTACGAAAATGTTATTTCGTCATATTATGTCATAATCAATCAAAAGAACACGTTACAAATTACTGTAACACTGCCTAGTGCGTTGCATCGTATTGGGTCTAGACGTTTCCTTATACATTTGCAATTTAGTTAAATATTCTTTTAAAATAATCGATAATATTCATCTGCCAGAAACTACATGCTTCCTTTTTGATTCCCCTATAGACAACACGTCTAATCTTCAAAGTTTCGATATCTAGCAATATTGTAAAGTAGCGCAATATATTTTATTGTTCGACACATGTTTCAGACAATTTAGTTTTTTGTGCAACAAAGCAAACCTTTTATCAATTTTCTCCAAGCTGGCTGATTATTTTCGAAAGAATCTTAATCCCAACACGGAAAATAAAATGGCTGGTCTCTCAAAAGCTCAGAACGGCAAACCATTTATTGTTTGACGTCAAACACCTACATCAGTTGGATAACCGAAACCCATTATCTAAGTCCGATCGATAGAGAACGACTTTATGTTCTGGAACTCAGAACTATAAACTTAGAATTATCCGTGACCGCAGGGGGCATATAATTTTAAAGTTACAAATCCAAAAACACTGCTTGGAAATTGTCTGGTTAATATTTTGCAATAATACCGTTGCAAAGGTTTCCATTGCAGGCAACAGAAGTTTGTATTTCACAAATCAATATTTGGGTACATGCTGATAAGTCTGGAATAAAACTAAATATGGTTTACCACATATATACACCCAAAACGTACAATATGTTTTGTTCGTTTGTTTGTTTTTAACGCCGCGCTGCAATATTCTAGTTACGGCTGTCTGTAAATAATCGAGTATGGACCAGACAATCCAGTGATTAACATGATGAGCCTCGGCCTGCGCAAATGGGATTTGATGACACGCATCAACCAGGTCACCGAGCCTTACCACCCGATCCCGTTAGTCGCCTCTGACGATAAGCATGGGTTGCTGGAGATTAATTCTAACCCGGATCTTCACGGATATAATATGTAAATGTGTTCGATATTACTGGATGTAGTCCATGATTTTTAGATTTAAGGGTAATCACCAAGCGCTGATTAATCCCAAAACGACGCTTTCTTATCGTACTATTTTTTGCATCACTGGAGTTTTCTACACATAAGTCCCAACTGGTAGTTATGACAATGGTGTCGTTTAGTTGACGTTAATCACATAAACTGCGACAAAAACACAGTTCCATATTCATAAAAAATCTCCACTCTCTTGAGTTCATTGTACGATCCCTGCTACATAATAAGCATGTATTTATAAATCACTATCAAATAGTGATGATACCAGGTGTTAGCGAAAAGGTGAGCGTACCCCGCCCCACCGGTGGCCCCTGTAACAAACACATGCAAAGGCAAGTCAAATGTTGACCTGATCAAACACGGCAATACAGGCTAAAAGTCAATTTGGGAATTCATTCGGACATTTTTTGTGTTATTGATTTCGTCAAATACACACAAAAACATGTTAATTTCTCATAGTTTAAGTACAGGTAACTCCGGATCTAACGAAGTCGGATATAACGAATAATAGGTTATACCAAGTAAACCCAACTGCTATAGCAGGGAGCAGGAATAATGTTTTCTTATATGTGCATTACCAATATTACAAACTAGTTAAGATATCCCTTTGAGTGATAACCCCTTTGAATGTTAATGAGTAAGCAGGTTGGGTTCAAGGCCGCTTGGAACAGTAGTCCAGTTAAATCACGGCGTGTCATCTTAATGTGGGATGAAATCCTGAAGTGATGCAGGCCTCAGACGTTTGCCACTTTGGTGAAAACCAATAGCTGATAAACCTAGAAACATAATCGGGGCGAAAGTTATGACCGAAGCTGACTTTTCTTTGTCATTTACTTCAGCACATCCTCATTAACGAAGTAGTCGGTAGTCCACGTACTCACTCATACATATGTGCACCACCTGTCCAGAACCCCGTGTTGTTGCTGCTGCAGGTGAAGTTAGGGGTCTGAAGGTTAACGCTGCCACCCCGTTCCGTATCCTGTGCTATCATCTTGAGTGCGTTTTTCCAGATTTCTACACTCGTGTCAATGGCCTCCGTCATGGCTCTCCTCCCGTAGTCGTACCACACACCTGGATTTCAAATTACATTTACTCAAACACAAACGTAACTGAGATCATGTTCTTGTTAATCATAGTATGAGTGGGTGAGGATGATTTAACGCAGCTTTAAACAGTATGTTAGTTGTTTCACAGCGTGTAAACTTGAGGTGAGGTGAAATTGGGTTTTACGTCTCGTGCAAGATTATTGGACTTTTATAGGGTCGAGCATGCATGAGTGTTTGTGTGTGTGTGTGTGTGTGTGTGTGTGTGTGTGTGTGTGTGTGTGTGTGTGTGTGTGTGTGTGAGAGAGAGAGTGAGAGATTGTGTGTGTGTCACTGCATGTGTGTCTCTCTCTCCCACGGGTGTGTGTGTGTGTGCACTAGCCTAGAATATTGCCGGTTTTATAGTGCTAGCTCACCGAGATACCATATCGCAGTTTAACATGGAGACTCCATGGGACTTAACCCCAAAAAGTACGAGAATCTGTACTTTACTGAGACAGTGTTATAACATTTGTTACAAGCAGGGTGTCGATTGTACCTAAGAGGGCATATAATGACACCGCCTGGTCCACAAGGTTAATCGCCATATCGATACAAAAAGAGTTGTAGGTCTTGACAAATCTAGCCCATATTTTCTTACATTGTTCCATCATTGCTTTGTTGAATATCGTATTTCAAACCGGCGATCAAATCTGCATCATTATACCCCGCCATGTTCATAACCAAGAGCGCAAGACAATACGTACATGCGTCTATTTTGCATAATCGGAAACATTCCTCATCCTTCATGATATAACGATGAATCCATCCCACAACTATGTGTTTATTCTTTCAGAACTATCGGCAAGGCAATAAAGCCTTCAATACTTTAGGCGTAAATATATACGTGCATTTTAATTGTAAATCATCCGATAGTAAGGTTAACGAGGCTAAGTTAAAACCCATACTTTCGATAGACTTAAGAAACTGAAGAAATAAAACAATACTCCTGTGCACTTTTGTTTTCAGTCAGATCCCGAACTGTCCACTTCATGTATGTGGTTTCAGGGCATAACGTTCCCCGCGACGCTTGTAAACGCGAAGACTCCCTTCCGCTCATCATTAAACCAAACTTGTCTCCGTCGCAGTTGTGGCCATACGCTGTGACTTTGACAAAACTGACGTCGCAGCCGCTGAGGCAGGTCCGTCAAAGTGACTGCTCGAACTGGTCGTCTCGGGCGAAGACCTTCAGCGCGTAAAAGGTTCCTCACTGTCTGGGCTGATATCCTACGCAATCCTGGTATTGCCGTAGTCGTGGAGGTGGCCGTGGTAGTTCTTTCACGTGTGTGACGTAGCCGTATGAAACTGTCCCGAGGTCTAGTAGTGATACGTGGTCGACCGGATCAGGGAAGGTCACGTGTTGTTCCTTTTGTCTGATAACGGTTCCATCCTCTTGTAATTGTGCTTGTCAGTCGACTGTGTCAGTCGTGGCATATTTTCGCTGTTCGTTTGCTGTTAGATTGTGATGGCATGCAAATGAAAACCCACTGTTTATATAGCGCAACAATTGGTGGTGCACGTGCATGGCATGTAGTTGTGTTTCGGCACCAGGCTCTCACGCGATTGTTCCATCTTTTCACCAAACTCCTGCAGTGCCTCATTATTGCGCACAAAACAATCCCAATCCATGCGGAAATGAAGACTTATTTTTTGGTATTAATTTTGTATAGAATCGGCAATGCCAGATAATTATGATTTGAACACTTTTGTGTTTTTTGTAGAGTATATGTTTGAAAGGAAAAACAAATATTCATAATTAAATTCATATATGTTCGTGGTTGTGTATACTTTTCTCATATAGGTATATATAATGTAATTGTGTCTTGTAAGCCAAGTTCAGCTGGATGTGCAGGTTTTATATGTCTGTTATAATACACTGATTTTACTTTGTAGGGCTGCACATGTGACACATAAATAAACATTACCTCGTAAAGGTGCAAACCTGACGCAAATGTGTTTTAACCATTGCAAAAGTCCACCCAGATACTCACGTACCGAACAATCCATAAGGCAGTTTTGTTGGATTAACCCAAGTTTTGCTGTTTTTGGGTACTGAATCCATTGATAAAATCCACACATATTCAGATCCTGTAATTTTCAGTTTGCGTGCGCATTCCATGACGACGTATGTTTGCGACCTGAAAAAGAACGTGCTTGTGTCAATGATTTTCACCTTTAAATTTGAGTGGGTGAATATTGTAATATGCCACACTGATACTACAGCCATATAACTCGGGACTGTACATAATCGAGACCGGAACAGCCAAACTATATTTTATTTTTTTTATCGTATTTGCAATGAAAGAACGTCAAGGGCAAAGGACCAGCGATCCACAAGGCGACCGTATCTCTCCGAATATCGTAGGCCACTGTTGACGAATGGGAGCTACGATCGTCTCAGCGCTAAGACAGCTTTGTGGAACGGGGCCCAGGCCATATATGTATCCACCTAATCTTCATTGGTTGACTAATGTTCCAAGCATTAATTCGGAGGTTCTCCCTCGGAATCAACGCAGGGATCCTACAAATAGGAACGAACCAAACGGTCTCGCGAGCGTTCATAATACTTTGGATCAAAGTGTTTTTCATTCATATGACTATTTACGAAGTTAGTTGACCCTGCTAACTATATCCTACCTGAACGTGGCAATATATGTCCAAAGTAGACACGCTATTCAAAACAGCGTGACATGAGGATAATTGACGGATACCATCTTTCAAGTTCTGATCAAAACCACGTTGGCTTGTTCGTTATGGAACGTTTACAAATGTCATCTTAGAGCTATTGGCTATTGAATTATATGTTATAGATTGGCATCCCTGAAATGACGTGGCATCGCGACATGTGTGTATTTCAATAGTACCTTCGCGGTTTTAATGGTACCTGGCAGTTCAAAATATCCATGAGCTTATATCTGCCAATGTCGTGTCAATAAAAAGACAATTTATGTACCACATTGTCAGAATTGTAAAACAATATTTTTATCATCCACGCATGTATAGCCTTGTAATGTCCAACATGTATATGCTTGCATAAATGTACTTTGTCTCTTTGTCTTATTAAAATATACGAAAAGCATTTTAGATACATGAATATCGTGATAGCTTCATTTTAAATTCTAACAAGAACACGAAATGACGAGGAAACAAAATGTAATCCAGACACCCTGTACAATATATACATTTATATTTTTTTAATATACCTGCATAAAAAGATTCAACACTTTCTGCGATATCTTAAATTAGAAGTTTTTTTCTCAAACACATCCAAAGAAATATTTAAAAATAAAATTAAAATAAGATGGCATGATAGGTGTGATAGTCATTCCGTCGACACGTTCCATAGTGTGAGCACTCATAATCATGTGGCACCATTGTGCGATACTACTGCAGCCCCGGGTCTCTGTGGAAATTGCTTCTAACATCACAAGTCAACCTTGCGAGATGGAATTTATCGCTTCAATAACACGCGCCTAGCTTGAAGACTTACTTCCACTTTTTAGAACTGGGTCTTTTCTGGACAGCAATATTTTGTTTTCAAATTATCGTATTTAGGTCAGTTATTGGTTTTGATGACGCTTGAGTGGTTGGTCGGTATGCGGAAATATTCAACTTTCAATTAAGCGTAGCAGTTTCAATAGAAAATCGGTTTTTAAAGAATTCTTTGCAGTGCGGGTCTAAGAAGAATTGAAGCTGAAGTTTGAAAAGACTCTTTGATACTCATTACTATTACTCGGATCTTTTCACAGATAGTGTCTGGCTAGAAACTGTGTGAATTTTAGTTGTACGTGTCATGGGCGCATTGACGCTAAATTAGATCAAAAGGGTATCTTTAATAGGCTTTTTTAATTCACATTTGTAAGAATGAAGTTGAATGCAGGACATTGAAAAGTAACTAAACACTTGATGGACTTTTGTGTCAGTGAGCCAAGCTATGATCTGCGCGCCGTGGGTTCGAATACAAAGTTTAACGATTATGACCCTTTATCTTTTATCACATACCTTCCCCGAGGGGTCAGAGTGATCTTTCTCGCGTTGGGTGCTTCAGCCACAGTATCAAGCTTACACAGCGTATTCAGAAATACTGTTCAAGGTGGCGTTAAATCCAACTTACTCACTCACTCACTCACTCACACGTGTTGGACAGGAAACTAAAAATATCTACAATACCCTTCATATATTCACCCTCAGAACAAATTACATATATCATTCGAAGACAAAATTTGTTCAAATCATGTGTCTTTATTAACACAATCTGCGAAAACCATTTCAGACTAGGAGTAGAAATTATCTGCAATACCACATGGCTTCGCGCTGAGTCGACGGTTCCACCTCAATATAACTCTGCACAGAAGTTGAAATCTCCCAAATCAATATCCAATGTATTGCTTTGATAAACGATACCGCGATATTCGGACAAAGAAAATAGGGTAGAAAAAATATATTCCAAAAAATAAGAGCCTATCCGAGCGGTGTACTAGAAAAAAGTAGAAACCTCTTGATTGCTTCAATCTCCTTTCCAGACTCTGCAAAGGATTTAGATTAAAGGATTTACAATAGCAGGCCAAAATCATTGATGAAAAAGGGACCAGGCTTATGTTTCAAGACGCACATCGAAATTGTTCACACCTTCGCAGCGAGGCACTTAACACCAAAGAGATTGTGGGAAACTTTGCAATCACAAAATAATCTATTACTTAAATCTGTTTCCCTTCCTAGAATTCCTGCATGGCCAAACACACGTTAGCGGTAACGGACTTTTTATTGACAAAACCAAACATATTTACAGTCAACGAATAATTGGCCTGATGCCCTGGAGAAAACCCACAATAAAAGTCAGGCTAAGAACAAATTCCAGTTTTAGAAAGGGATTGAAATGTGGATCGTCTCTGCTAGCCACAGAAGCAATTCACAAGAATTGTGTCATTTTTCAATTTATGAAATGGCGCGGCTGTTCGTAGGATTCACCATATATTACACCCAAGTATTATCTATAATATCATCAAAACTCTTTTATTAAAATGAAAGATTGACATAAAGAATTATTGAACAGCTTAAATTAATGGTGACAAAGCAATGGCTCAATGTTTGGTAGGGATTTCCTATTAGAGACGTGTATTTGTACAGACAGAAGCCATGAAACTGAGAATTTGGGAAATGAATTGTGTATACACAAAGAAATAAATCAGCCTTCATGGAAAGAAAATGACCAGCTGTTTCACCTTGTGCAAAGAACAAGGAACCGTAAGGCAGGATTTGATTTTTTTAAATTTGAGTTTTGGGAACTAAATCAACACAACGTCACATTACATATTCGCAAAATATCTATATCTTTCAGTTATGTGCTTTACAAATATTAACATGATCACCGTCACTTTTGCCTTTGATCAAAATAATAACAACCTACATGTACTTGTCTCCCTTTAAATATTTGGTAGTATAAACTAAAAGAAGCAGATACAATGACCTCTTGATACATAGTCAACGTAGCATCTCTCAATCATTTGAGTCAAAAAATGGTAATTATTTAGAACTGCGTCACGAAAAGCATTTGCCCTCAGGGATTGTATTACCAAAAGGAAATACGTCATTGAAAGGGTGTTGTTAAGCACAGCGGAAGAATCAGAGAGACCATTACAACCACTCATATCATAGAAGAATCTCTTAAAAGACATTCACGATAGATGATGCATCAAGAAATGCATATATCGCACCAACAGTAGTTTGAATAGCGCTACCTTCAGGAAACCGAATTGCACATGCCGCCATAAATGCATGCTATTACTGATGGGGCGGGTGTGTACGGTAGGATCTCATACATGAACATGACACTCGTGTATATGCATACATGTATAGGTTTAAGCTGTATAATTACAATTAATCAACGAAACATAGGGAAATACGTATTATCTGTCCCGAGAGATATAGAATCTTTCAAAATTAATTCACGGGTGACAGATAATCCATAATTCCAGGAGTAGTATATTTTTTATATTACCATAGTGTTTTTTTGTTGAGAAAATGAAGAAAAATGTGAATTCCCTAATCTCAAATGAAGACGTCCAGCCCACAAGAACAATGGAGCAACTGTTACGGGCTAGCAAAAATCAGCATGCAGCAGAATTTATACTATTAGGTTAACTGAATATAACGTCACCTACATCCGTGCTTCAATTGGTAAAAGTGAAAACTGTTGGAAATAATTTTGTGTGTGCACGTGTACTTCCTTAAGATGAAAGAGAAAAACATTCCATAGTCATCAGGAATTTCTGCTAAAAGCAGTTGATTGTGCCATTCCGACTATATAATGAACATCTGCTTATAAATCACTATCAAATACAATGCGCGTATCCTGCTCCTCCGGTGACTTCCGTCACATACGTCACATACACATGCAAAGACCAGTCATTTATTCACCTGAAAAAGCACGGAAAGCGATGGCACAAGTCAAAATATTTTGACGGACATTGCTTCGGACACCATTTTGGTCACAGATGCGTCAACTTTGGAAATGTTTTCCACATGTCTACCACAAAACATTTGGGAATGTTTTACGGATACTAAGGCCCCGAATGTTAGAACCTTGATCAAACAACTTTTGACGTTCTTTAAAACTTCGTAGAAAGAGCATGCTCAATTGATTTCAGGCGTTGTGAAATGTAGACAAGCCGGGTCAAACACTGTATGAACGTCGTCACTAGCAGCGACGTCCATACAGTTTGGCCCTTACCTTATGGAGGTTCATACTCCAATGAACTCACACATAGTGACAATTGGTTTCAGTCAAACAACCTGTAAATCAACTCTGACAATACCTGTGGCTGTAAGTGTTGTATTGGTTTCAGTAAGACAACCTGTTAATCAACTCCGACAATACCTGCGGCTGTAAGTGTTGTATTGGTTCCAGTCAAACAACCTAAAAAACTCCAACAATACCTGTGGCTGTAAGTGTTGTATTGGTTTCAGTAAGACAACCTGTTAATCAACTCCAAAAATACCTGCGGCTGTAAGTGTTGTATTGGTTTCAGTAAGACAACCTGTTAATCAACTCCAAAAATACCTGCGGCTGTAAGTGTTGTATTGGTTTCAGTCAAACAACCTAAACAATTCTAACAATACCTGCGGCTGTATGTGTTGTATTGGATTCAGTCAAACAACCTAAACAACTCCAACAATACCTGCGGCTGTAGGTGTTGTATTGGATTCAGTCAAACAACCTAAACAATTCTAACAATACCTGCGGCTGTAGGTGTTGTATTGGATTCAGTCAAACAACCTAAACAATTCTAACAATACCTGCGGCTGTATGTGTTGTATTGGATTCAGTCAAACAACCTAAACAACTCCAACAATACCTGCGGCTGTAGGTGTTGTATTGGATTCAGTCAAACAACCTAAACAATTCTAACAATACCTGCGGCTGTAGGTGTTGTATTGGATTCAGTCAAACAACCTAAACAACTCCAAAAATACCTGCGGATGTAGGTGTTGTATTGGATTCAGTCAAACAACCTAAAAAATTCTAACAATACCTGCGGCTGTAAGTGTTGTATTGGATTCAGTCAAACAACCTAAACAACTCCAACAATACCTGCGGCTGTAGGTGTTGTATTGGATTCAGTCAAACAACCTAAACAACTCCAACAATACCTGCGGCTGTAGGTGTTGTATTGGATTCAGTCAAACAACCTAAACAATTCTAACAATACCTGCGGCTGTAGGTGTTGTATTGGATTCAGTCAAACAACCTAAACAATTCTAACAATACCTGCGGCTGTATGTGTTGTATTGGATTCAGTCAAACAACCTAAAAAACTCCAACAATACCTGCGGCTGTAAGTGTTGTATTGGTTTCAGTCAAACAACCTAAACAACTCCAACAATACCTGCGGCTGTATGTGTTGTATTGGTTTCAGTCAAACAACCTAAAAAACTCCAACAATACCTGCGGCTGTAAGTGTTGTATTGGATTCAGTCAAACAACCTAAACAACTCCAACAATACCTGCGGTTGTAGGTGTGGTATTGGTTTCAGTCAAACAATCTGTTAATCAACTCCAAAAATATTTGCGGCTGTAGGTGTTGTATTAGATTCAGTCAAACAACCTAAACAACTCCAACAATACCTGCGGCTGTAAAGAAGCATAATCCTGGAGTCCACCTCAATGAGACGTTGCATTTCCTGACAGAATTTCACCTCGTTCCTCACGTTCCGCAAAATCAAGGTCTCCAAAATGCGAAATCTAAAGAATAAAGGATTAAGGCTACAAAGTAATTATACAATAAAACAATAAATATAAGCGGAACAACCATTTATGTAACTATAAGACATTCCTACCAAAACCAGTGGCCGTTGTAAGATCTCATGAGCAAGTGTAGGAATGCCTATAAATTAGTGATGATATCAATATAGCTAAGATCAGATAAGTTCACCTACAAGACAGCATTTGATTATGTTAAAGCTTGAAATTTGGACATGATGGGCAATGCCAATATATGGAAACAACAATTCCCTCCATGTATATCACACACACACACACACACACACACACACACACACACACACACACACACACACACACACACACACACACACACACACATATATATATATATATATATATATTTGTTTCTTTGATATCAGAAAATGAGTCCACACATGATGGAAGCTACAAATTACAAGAATCAAGAATCCTGATGCAGTTTGAAGTATTATTGATCATACTATGTCTTCGCGAAACTGGGACATGCAAATCACTGTTATAATATAAGTACAATTTATTCACATGCCTAGGTTTCTTGTTTGCTGCTTCCATTTTATTTGTTTGTAGAGCGCCACACTCCAGCCATAAATTTTGTTTGGTTGTTGTTTAACGCCACACTGTGCAGCATTCCAGCTGTACGGTCGCATCATGTAAATAATAGCTTCGAACAGATACACCAGTCATCGGTATGATGAGCAACGCCTCCAGGGTACCATGAGACGCCAATCAATGAGTCTGACCACCCGAGCAATGTAGTAACCTCGTACGAAAAACATTCTGGGTTACTGGACACATATTCTAAGCCGGAATCTCTGTGAGGTTATGATGTTCGTGCGTTCATGGGGTAAAGATATCAATATGGGGACAAGGATTTATCTAAATTAAATTTCTTGAACATTTGTCATAACTGTGTTTCTGTCTGACAGGAAAAATGTTCGCGGCGTTTCTAAAACGTTCACACTTCGATTGGAACCGATTAAATTATCTGAGCTGTGAAGTCATATCAAACAGAAAATAATTCTTCTTCCGGGATCACTACATTTCGAAATGACGTACATCACAATTACACATTACAAAAAAAAGTTTCGAATTGAGGGAGAAAAACGTGTAAAAATATATCGCTCCCTGGTGAATCGTTCCACCGAAAACCTGACTATTTTTGCATTTTATTATCCGACCACCGACGTGGATGACAAGCACAGCTAAACCCAGAACAAATACATCATGAGGCGGAATTTGATTACTTCACTGCGGGGTATTGGCAACAGTTGAGATTAATATTACGCCATGTGGTTGGAGTATAGGTCCAATATTAACCATTACCTGGGTTTAGGGTGGTTGATGTCATCGTATGGATCAGCTGATTTGGATACTCTCGTTAAGTCGTTGACAGCTGATATGAAGTCAGTATGACCTGTCTCGTTGGTGGTAACGATGGCAATGTCTGTCCAGTTGTAGCGGCCGAGCATACTGAGCATCGCCTTGACCTGGTGATGGATCGTGGGAGAAATCACAAGATTCCGAGTCGTGGTGTGGGTCTGGAAGAAATAGGTTGATAGGCTTTATTCCAGGATGAGTTTGATCGGGTTTTGAAATTGGAAGATAGTGGTTAATTGTGTCAACATTTATTCATGAGGGTCGGTGAGCGATTACAATTTTTTTGTTATCAATGTTCCACCCGAGAATCGGACGTCCCAACTGCCACATATTAAATACAGCCCCGGGATATAGTGAGTTTGTGAGTTCGGTTCAACGCTGCTTTTAACAATATTTCATATGTAAGGCTGTAAGCTTAAGATGGGACGTAAGGCCTGGGTGAGGGGCTACGGTAGTTGCAACTTTGGTTAAACCAGCGACCACTGGTATGGTGCAAACAAACCAGTGGAAATATAGGAGTCGAACACACGACCAAAGGATCACGGCTCCCCTCAGGGGATCACAGACAACTGAATCTCCTATGCCCTCTAATACGTATAAACGTTCATATCGATAATAATATTTGGTCAACCCTGATCATGTTTTATCTGTACCCCTATAATTGATGTAAATGCATTCATCGTATTTATATGCATGCACCCTTTGTAATTACATACGTCAGTGATAATTACGTTAACTCACTCTAAGGATATACATGATGCCCTAAACATTATGTCAGGCTTCCTGGTGATTATATGCTTGTTCTCCAATAAGTATATGCATGGACTCTGATAAATATACAAATGCGCTGTGATAAATATATGCATGCAGTTTGATTAGTATACGCGTGTACACTGAGAGGTAGATGCATGCACTCTGATAATTATATATGTATGCATCCCTTTTGTTAGCGGCATTGTGTAACTCGTACATATTGAAATAATTTATGATAGCGGTGATTAATATATTAAGAGTCACCCCTTGTTCAAGATGTAAATGAGTTATGAAGTACATTGTGTCGTTTGACCGTAATATAAAGCCAACAATGGATGTCAGGAAAAACACGGAAGCGTAATGGTTCTATTCATAATCTGGTATTACAGCCACTTTAACGTGACTTATTATCGACGAAAGACAGAGGTCGACGTGCACGGTGCGGTGACGAGCTTCATGTGATGCACATACCGAGGTCATGGCATCATTGACAGAGACAAGGCAGAAGAAATGGGTAATTTCAGAGCTGTCGCGAGCTCAATTACAGGTCCATCGTGTGCAACAGTCGTGCGAAAGGAAAATTCACGGCAGACAAAAAACTACAATTTCGAGCAAAGGAGAGGTCGTCGTTATTCAACAACAGTTCCAAGCTCAAATGTTCAAAGATTTATATTACATAATTACCCATTAAAGCAGGATAGCCAACGAAACAATTGTTGGGTTGGGCATTTGTAGTTGTAAGTCACGATGCAGGTAATTATAAACTTTAAGTCAAATGCGTATTTCGGAATAACAATACATTTATCACGACATGACGGTTGGGGATGTTAAATGCGTATACGTACCACGAAGAATTGATTATCTGTAATACATCGTAATAATCTGATAATTCCGAATGTTGACAGGGGAATCATACAAATATGAAAAGTCAACGCCAGAAAATAACCCCTCAAATGTCCAACGAAATAAATTCCATTGGGCATAAAAGTACTCGAAAAGGTGACCACATCTTGCCTAATTGGTAGCACCCGTCACACACTCAAGCAAAAGCAAAATGATTTGGAGACGATCAAAATGGACATACGGATTCAGCAAATCTTTAAAAATGAAGACATTTGGAAGACATCTCTTGTTGGACTGGCGTGTAGCAGGGAAGGTACGTGCATAGCGTGTGTTCATCTCTTCCCATGGTGTTTCTGTTTGTCGACAGAAAATTGACTACTCTTCAGTCCTTTCATGTATCATTCTGTGTGTGAAAAGTCTCCTTTCATGCTCAACGAGTTTCTCACTTCCGCCTAGTTCCTTATAGATCGATGAGCAAATAGTCCTTCAACTTATGTAATTATTAGTGAACTGTGTATCATTTCGTTTGATCATATAATCAGAGAAAGATTTGGAGACGGCAAAAATGAAAACACGGTTTCTAATATGCCGTAAAAATATGTTTGCATCGCGTTAAAAGCCGTTTGATTGTTTGCTACATGTAGCTACGTTCAATGTATATGACACTTAAAGAATCTAACATCTCAACGTTGTCAAAGCGATAGCAGTATGGCATACATACATCATTCATACATACATACATACATACATACATACATACATACATACATACATACATACATACATACATACATACATACAACTTTGAAGCCCTCAAACACATTGTCACTTCTGTAGACTCGGTAATTACATATAATCCATCAAACGAAAAAAAATAATCGGAACGAACTGGGAATCGAACCCACAATCATGGGTTTCTATCAATCATACTGGATGGTGTGAAGAAAGAGATACTGGAACTATAATTACTTGACAAAACATCAGTTGTATATTATGATATTAAATTTAGATTTACACACCCAGCCTCGGAACAGCTATAACATTCAAGAACGCGAACGAATTACAATATTTCAGCTAGCAAATAAAACAAATCTCAAGAATTAGTAAACTTCACAAGCGTTTAATCTTTTGTAGTTTACAGAACTTTCATTGACTTATATTCAACTGAATGGGTGTATGATTTCTATCACACATTATGCCAGCGCTCTGTCATAGATCACACAAGATCTATCTCATTTCGAATTTTACAAAATCAGATAACTTTAAGACAAATTGTTATATTATATATTTGTGATCATTTCACTTAAACACACATCACTTAAGTTTATATTTGACAATTATACATAAATTTGTTCCTCTAACTCACGTATGTATCTGTACATCAGCACTGCACAATGTATGGCATCATTATTTTTATTAAATATCCGATCCCGGTCAAAAGAAAGTATACACTTGAAAATTGGATTTGACCAAAATATTACACACGTTAACAAACAGTTACTAGTCTGACCACAGTCTCCGAAAACTACAAACGTAATTTAAGGTCCAAAACACAACTATGATATCCGTATCTTTCATTTTTAGCCACCATCAAACATGGATGTATGCTTTATTTCACCAGGAAGTTCAAATTTGTGCACTGATATTGCTTTGCATTTTTATTAATCATCAGAATGAACGATTAAGTGTGTTTTTTATTAAACATTGCTATTAGTAATGCAACAGTCAGATGTATCTACATGATATGCTTTTCGATTAAATTTGCATTAATTAATGTTTGAAATCAAATGATAAAAGTATCATGTGTAATAATGCAATAACTGTTTTAAGGTTTACAATGTTGGATTCATTATATGTAGTGGTGGATTGAATATCAGGATAGCGAGGTGTTACTTAATAAAATCCACAAAACTCTTTCCACAACCATAAGAGTCCATTGTACGATTTCCGATTCATGAGTTTATGAATCACTATCAAATAGTGATGATACCAGCGGCAGCGTAACAAACACATGCAAAGGCAAGTCAGCTGTACATCTTAAAAGAACACGGGATGAAGTTATGAATTACAAGCATATTATTAGCAAACAACAGAACATGCACGTAACCCATCCACAATGGAAACTCACTGGAAACCAAATGGAAACCTTGGATTTCTGTGGGTTTTCGTTTAATGTACATATATTTTTCCTCGGTTTACTGAGGGTTTCGCAAAAGTGATGTTCGAGGTAGCTTGACTTAGCCTTGTCCTTTACTCATGATGGGGGGTATACTGTATGGTCTTGTTTAGCAGCTTCGAGATGACCGGGTATCATCAATGCTACTTAAACAGCATGATCACCTTGATTTTGTGGCTTCCAATTTGTTTGGACTCATTTTCTGTTATCGAAGAAACAAATATATGTAAAATACATAGAGGGCATTGTTGTTTCCATCTATTGGCATCATCAACCATGCGATTTAAACTACAAATGTCAGGCTTAAACATCATCAAATACTATCTTGACGCTAAACTTATCTTTTCTTAGCTGAACTGGTGTCATCACTAATTGAAAGAGATTCATAAACACATGCTTAGGATATAGTCGAAATCATATAATGTCAGCTTCTTTTAGCAGAGATTCTTACAATCATGGTAAAAGTTTTGTGGCTTACAACTCTTGCTCAGAAGTTGTTTGATCAAGGTTACAACATTCAAGGCCACGGTTAAGTTTTGTGGTAAACATATGGAGACCATTTCCAATTTTGACTCCTCAGTGACAAAAAATATATCCGATGCAATTCCCTATTTTGACTTATACCATATGTTCCTGTGTTTATTTTCAGAACAATTGACAGCCTTTGCATGTGTTTGTGACGAGTGCCACCGGCAGGGCAGGATAAGCTCAGCTTTTCGCGAACATCTGGTGTCCTCACTATTTAACAGTCATTCATAAACACATGCTCGTGATATAGTTGGAATTGTACAATCGACTGTTTGGGGCAGATATTTTTTATTAACATGGAAAGGTTTGTCGCTTTTATTTTTATTGGATTTGGAAAATTACAAATTATCCGCCATTTGTGTTACCTGTTTTCTGTTTTCATTCAAATAATATCTGTAAAAATGTTAACCGATGGCTTCCATGTATCCGGAAACGTAAAATGCCACATATCAAACTGGTTTACATACATGTATTGAGTTTTCCAGCTGTATTCACAGTCAATATTATTTTATCAAAAAGTTTGACCAAATCACTGTATTTAACTGTCTTTTTAACAAACATGATGCTAGTCGTGGAAAGACTGAAAGCCCAAACTTATATACAAATATAGAAGAGGAATATATATATATATGTGTGTCTTTTATCTCTAAATATGATTTGGATGCCTATGTCAATTGGTTGATTCCTGGTGTCTAACATTCAGCTCATGTTAGACAAATATAACAGTCATTTTAGAAAAGACCTGATTTGTCAATGAAATGCGGCAGTAGGTCACAAAAGATAGGTGTTTTCTTAATATTAAGAATGTCTGAAAATATCTTTATATTTGGTAATATCTTTCTGAACAAACACAGAATCTCAACCACAAAACAGCTCAAGAAGCCACGTGTACACAATCACAATCGTTGCATGTGGATCTATTCTTGCTTAGATCTTGGATATTGACGTAGACCTATCGAATGCAAGACAGGAACTGTACAACAATAATGCGTCCACTTAAACATCCTTCCAAGCTTAAAAATATAACTAACAAGTTTGTAATGATGAAATCAATACCAAATTAGAGACAAGAAATGAGATCCATACTATCCGTCTCGTTTCTGTGGTAACACTTAAACCGACAGTAATGTTATGGATACATGCTCTGTTGTGCTTCCAGTGAACAGCGAGGATGCTAATGCTACCCGTCTCCCTCTGTGGTAACATTTAACCTGATTGTAATGTAAAATTCTGCGGATTTCTCTGTATGTTCTATACGTAATATGTATGATCTTTTATGCTTTCTTGAAATTGGTGTTTAGCCAGATGTCTCCAAGTAAGATATTAAAGTTCAATAAACTAGCATTTTGACAATATTGAACGTGGGGTAAATGTAAACAAGTCAGAATGGCGCACATACTCCCTTGAGAGCATGGAATTATAGCTGAGATTGCATCTTTATGCATGACGTCCTAGAGGTCTGTCTGAGAATCCCTAGGCCAGATGTTTACATCTAATCTCATTCTATTTCTACAATATGCATACAGCGATTGTATCTTCAAGATTTAAGATGAAGAGGGTTGATTGTTTTCCTGTTGGATGGAAGCGGGGTTTTTTAAAATAGAATAGATTGCATTATGCCTTTTTACAACTTTGTAAATCTTGCCTTAAGTCACACAAAGTTGTAATGTTGCTGATGTAACTTTAAAATTTAACTCAGTCGCCCACTATCTTCTAACCTTTAGGAAAAGTTTATATTTGTCATTTTCCGACATTAACATGTTTATACATTCATATGTTCAGATGTCATCTCCTTCGGAAATCACTGTTAAATGCATATAATGTATGCCCCATGATAAAAGGTTGTCTAGCAATGATGTGTTAATCTACAAGCACACACACGCAGGCACATATGAAAGACCATAATTACCACCATTGCGCTAACTTTACCAGCGTCGGAAGGGTTAATAACATAGGTTGTTACATATGTACATTTAAACCACTCCAACCAACATAAGATCAACTTAGTCGTTTCGTAGCATACAACGGATTCCCAACAACACTCGGCAACAGAACCATCAAACCATACTATCACTCAGATAACCATAAACGATATGCCTATACTAGCATACTCATCAAACAATCCAACATAGATACCGTCTGTACGAGAGGCACTGGGTGTACAATATTAAATGCAGCTGTGAAGAAACATACTTCGGAGAAACATCAAGACCACCCCCCCACCCCCCCACCCCCCAAAGTTTTCACTCATTCACTCTCTCACTCATCCAATCACTCAACTTGTCACTGACTCCCTCATTCAACCACACAAAAAGTAATCGATGACAGAGATGCAACTTAAAGAAAAAATACACTTAACTAGGTTCTGTTTGTAACTTGGAACATGGTAACTGTTTGCATTTAACATTTACTGCGTTCCCTAACATCCTAAAAGTTACATTTGAAGGACAGACCAAGATGGAGGGCCCCAGCTATGTCGTCACTTTATGTGATTAGCACCTCTCACAACAAGCAGTAATCCAGATAGAGCTGTGATAATTCCTCTCTCCGAACTCGTGGCATGAATCAGTCCCTGACTGTACAAGCTCTCAGTGTGATTAACGCCGTGATTGGAGAGTGACCAGAGGTCAAGCTTGCCTGAACTGACCACCATATGAACATCTATAATTGCAGGACGGTGACAGTAACGGACGTAGCCTCATTAGCGCCTTAATTAGCTTTATCAACTCGCTTGAGATATGCTTGAATATTTAAGATACACTAAGTCCTGTTTTTACAGTGATTAGGAGATAATAGTAGTGTTAAGATTGCAGAATAAATGGAGGTTAATCAGCGAAGGCATAGTTCATATAATATACTTGACCGGTGATTAGATAATGATATGTGCAGTGTCTGTGTAAGTTAATAAACTGGGATGCTATTTTAAAAAGAATGAAGAGATTTCAAACGATATTTTTGGTGTCATTATGATTTGCATATACGTTGTGTAAAAGAATAAATACTACAGAGAGAAAAATGTCAGCGATGTGTGCTCCACAATTGTCTTATTAGAATGGGTTCTTTTATACTTCAAATCTGTAGAAAGAAGTAAAGAATACTTAACGACAGAACATTTCACCTTATAACGATATAAACCCATTCTAAATGAGGTGCATGTACACAGACGAAAAAGTGAGTGAGTTGGTGTTTACGCCGCTTTTAGCAATATTCCAGCAATATCACGTCAAGGGACACCAGTAATGAACTTCACACGTTGTATCCATGTGGGGAATCGAACCCAGGCCTTAAGCGTGAGGAGCGAACGCTTTAACCACTGGGCAACCCCACCGCCCCTCAGACGAAAAAGGGGAAATGAAGAAAATAAAGTATTAACATAGAAAAGTATCACGTACAGGGGGATATATTTCAGGTGAAGATAGAACCTTCACAAGACAGTTCCAGTAATAAAACAATGAAAAAATTGAAAGAGGGTATGCATAGTTCAACTATTCTGAAATGTGTTGTGCAACATCTTACCTGTGAAGTAACATGGTATTCCGGGTCCCATGTTATGACCGGAAGTCCTAAATATTGAGTGATACTTCGGAAATAGTGCGTTGCGGCGGGGTTGGCATTGTGGTGGTAGGGATTGTTGATGTAAAGGACGACAGGTGCTTCTAGCTGGAAGATTGTGTCACAGAAAGCGTCCAGAATGTGCTTAGGGTCACCTTCCTTCAACAGAATGAGCTGCCCCTGGAGGTAAAAGAACCGTCGCAAGGTAGTGTCCCTCGATGGCATAGTCCTACCCCCGGGGAGATGACGGCTGTAATGGTACCGATCCCATCGCAGATGCACGATGACGGGGAGGGTGATACGGACCCTCCCCCAAGTCCCCGAACCAAGTACGCATATCAAGAATACAAGTAGGGTAAAAAGCCCATACGTGTCCATTTTTCATACCCGTGCCTTAAGCCAGCGCGTATTGCTGGTTACAAGGACGTTAACACACAAGTCCGCACATGTACCACGCAGGGAGACATGCACTCAATCATAGCCACATCCCCCGCAGAAACTGGTGGACAGATACTTGATCCATGTCAAAGTTAGTTCTCACATATACTCAACTGCCTTGGCGATCAGCATTTAACACTCTGGTACAGTCGCCTGCCACAACCTGTAACAGAACAAGTTCAGCAGTCAATATTTCTATCCCTTCCTTATCAGCAAATTGCTTAAAGCATACACATCATTCCTCACAGAATGCGATGGATCCCTAGACAATGATAGTAGCCGTTTGTTTGCGATAATAGGGACATTCTAATCTACGCTAGCTAAATTACTGCCCTTCACAAACGGAAAGCGACAGTGAATGTGTATGGTGAACCGTAGCTAACCTCGACAGAGAATCGCTCTCGCTGTGATCATTCTTCTGAGGAGGCGTGGAGGCGAGTGGGGGGGGGGGGGGGGGGGGGGGGGGGAGCCGGGGGGGGGGGGGGGTCTTACCAATAGTCTTCTCAGCGACCATCTCGCATGAAAACAATGATGCAGAAATAAATGGAACACGTAGATGATATAGCTAGAGTACAATTTTCGATGGCAAAGACATCGTGATGGAACGGTGTATAGCCTCCATTTGTATCATCTCCTATGCCTCGCAGTAATACTTATTCTTGCGAACTAGCTGCTTGTGTTTGGCTTCAGTGTGATAACTGAATATATTACGTCTTCGGAGATCTAATTGAGACATTTGACGGACAGCCACTGCGAGGATTATGTTATTATTCATATCTGCAAAATAAAAGTGGAAATTACTGGGTGATCACAAGCTATGGTCACCTTTAGATCACAGCCGGAATCTCGCAGAATGTGTATTCATTTTTGTGTAAGAAGTTTTAAATGTTCTAATTGGCATGACATACATCTGTTTAGCATCAAGGTAAAAAGTACTTTTGAAACAAATTTTGCAATCTCATATTGGCATTTTCCTAAAACATGAAGGATTAAATTTTATGTTTATGGAATGACATTCCGTTTCGTTTAATCACAATCTGTATTCCTGGTAATAAAATTTAGAACATTCAATTCAATCATACACATTAAGAACCAACACAATTACACTGTGTGTAAAATACAATTAGGTTCGCTTGTGTCCAGCTGAGTGACAGACACTTCTCTGTTTGGCGTGTCCACTTCTATACAACACACGCAACGCGAGACAAAACATTCTGCCAATAATAACACTAACGGGATACCCTGAACGTACATTGGCCAGGGCCCCGTTCCACAAAGCGATCTTAAGCTTAGTGCTAAGTCTATGTTAAAGTATGGGACTAACGATCGTCTAAGGGCTACGATCGCTTTGAGGAACGGGGCCCAGGCCCGCAGCGCACCATAAATAAAGAATATGATGGAGTTACTACTTGTACCAACCCGTTGAAAATTTGAACACTGTGCCAACCCTGTATCTCTCTTAGGTATCACATGTAACCCTAGTTTTGAACAGTGGTTCCGGGATTAGTTCATGCACAAGATATGGTATCCCACCCTTCTCAACGCTGAACTATGTGTGATACACGTACGTGCATGAATGGATCAAATCCTTGAGGAAAGGAACCGATTCAGACGAGACGGTTTTGGCATTGTGTACGATACAACGCAAGGGGCATATGAAAAACACACACTGTTCTTTTTAATGACAATCCCCAATAGACAGTGGCCATTCGCCTTCCTCTGGGCATCGAGTCATTAACTAGCGTTTATTACAGCATCGTTGACCCTAAAGGGAATACCGCAAGCGAAGATCACACACACTGTACTCTGGCTTATGTTAGTTCTGTTTACCATACTCATAATTCAATTTTAAGGCCCTCTGTGATAGGTACTGCTTCTCTAACGTTGTTAGGAATGACGGAACGGAAGTCCCTGGCAGTTATCAGATCATGACGTAATTTCCCAACCTTTAACATTAATCCATTAGCTACTTCGTGAAAAACAGACACGGATGCTAATCAAAGATGAACCTTTTTTGCGTTTCTACAAATTATGAATGGAACATGTAATAACACAATCTGTAAACAATTTTTCTCTTTTATTTGATTATTGTTGCAGTGTTTAAATACTTCTCTGTGCATGTTGTTCGTCAGTGTTAAATGTGTGTGAGTGAGTGAGTGAGTGAGTGAGTGAGTGAGTGAGTGAGTGAGTGAGTGAGTGAGTGAGTGAGTGAGTGAGTGAGTGAGTGAGTGAGTGAGTGTGTGTGTGTGTGTGTGTGTGTGTGTGTGTGTGTGTGTGTGTGTGTGTGTGTGTGTGTGTGTGTGTGTGTGTGTGTGTGTGTGTGTGTGTGTGTGTGTGTGTGTTGTAATCTGATTGCATGAAAAGCATTCTTAAATAGGATTGGATACTGGAACTCTTCCGCACTTTAAACAAGTATGATTTAAACAAAACGTGTCATTCGTCTTGGCGAAATGGATAGTACATTAATTAAATATTAAGTCTGATCAACATTTATTAGAACATTGATAACGTTGTTCAGTTTAACATCCTCTTAACCAGGCGGTGCTGCGCAACATTACTGATAACTTTTGTATTTTTCAATGTTGATAAACATTATGTTTTCGAATATGAACATTATGAAAACAATGTCTGTCTCATTACCTGACATTATTCCTGGCTGTACATCTCAATTAATGCAGCGTTGGTCCGGATGTGTTGTTCGTCCATCTGCTATACGCTTCATTGTATAAAGGATGACCATTGACGTTTTATTCCCTAAGGTTTCACCGTGTCCATTACGGATAAACTACTGAATCTGATCTTTATTGGTTTGCGCGTGAGATGTGATACTTAAGCCACGAATGGTACTCACTAGACATGCTATTTGTAGAGATTTTACTGTTGGTCTGTTTCATTTGTCGGTCAAGTTCTTATCTGTTTCAGATGTGATCACCAGTGGTTTATGGATGTGCATAAATGTCAACATATTTTCACTTCCAAGTGTGACAGTTGCCCTTAAAACGCCTTGAATGCATCGAGTCAAACCGTCTAGAAGAACAAAACCCTTTCAATAATTACAAGAAATGTCTACTACGAACCGAATCCATTGGGCGGTTCCGACTATATCACAAGCATGTGTTAATACAAAGTCAACTGATGACCTGAGAAAGCACGAAAACATACGGACAAGTGAAACAGCTTTATTAAATTTGTCTCATTTCGCAAGACAAACATGTTTTTCGAGTTAATATAGCGGTGGCTTAAGGGATACATTGTGTTCACAACAGAGGAAGAAGAAGAAGAATAGTGTCAGACAATAGATCACACCACCCTTAATCGATAATATTTACCAATAATAATTGCAGGGCGTAGTTTGATTAACGTGGGGGCTCCTCGTGATAGAACTGTATTGTGCACGTTTGCACACATTTATTTGTCTGATGATCTTCTTGTGAAGCATGTCAAGACTCATGATGAAAACAAGGCATTCCACAGTTTTCTAAAATGAGCCAAGGATGTGGGACATAATCTCAACGTCAGTGTTGATTTTGTTGATGGCTTTGTTCTGCTGGGTGGTACAGAAATGGTTGTCAATCAGGCGAAGTGCCATATCAAAATGGCCCAGACTCAGGTTTTCAAGGCGAGGCTATCTGAACAACCACTGCATCGAGTTTAGGTGCAGTGTGTTGAGAAGATCAGCAGCCCTGCAGAGTCCTTCGCTTGGATAAAGTCGACAGGCCTGAAAAGTGAAACAAAAGACTTTCTGTTTGCTGCTAGGGACCAGTCCCTTCCCACTCGAAAACCGTCAATGTGTGATTTTGCAATGAAATTAATTAGACTGTCCATCATATTGTCAGTGTATGCCCAGTTTTGGCACAAACACAGTAATACTATCTTAAGCGACATGATGGAGTGACTCGGTCCTTTTATTCCTTCGCAATCCTTGTGGTTTAGACAGAGAGGTTCATCCATGGTACGACCAAGAATATGTAGAGGGCGCCATGGAAAATGATAAATACAAAATTCTTTGGAATAGGCCCATATACAGCCTCAGACGTTTCTAGGCCAACAAACCTGATCTTGTCCTTTTTGATGAATCCAATGAAATCATTTATATTATCGAATTTTCTGTCCCTTTTGAAACTAATGTGATTGACATGGTTCAGGAAAAAACATGGCAAATATGCGGACCTCGCTTTCGGAATGTCACGCTTGCATCCCAAGTACTAAGTTGTCCCATTGTTCTCGGTGCCTTAGGGTTGGTACCTCCCAATCTGTTGACTGACATTGGGAGAGTACCTGCCAGTGGGTTTGCTACCCGGAATACAGCTCTTCTGACAATCAGGGTAATGCAGAAGACTGCAGTGTTGGGGAGTCTTCACATTCTCCGAAAAGTTCTGGGTGGGTTTGACTAGGCAGCGCTTCCTGGGAGAAGTCTCATTCGCTGTCTGGCCTGCGTGTAAAGGGGGCAAGGGTCCTGAGCTGATGATTGGTCTAACCAGCCTGACTATGCCAGGATCACCCAAACCCTCTTTTTCTGCATTTTGTATTTTAATCTGTAAATAATAATAATGATGATGATGGTAATAATAATAATAATAATCATCATCATCATCATCATCATCATCATCATCATCATCATCATCATCATCATTCATTTTCAACTCACGGGGGGAGTATACACCACAAGCTGCCTGTGAGGAGCTGGAAGGTTATCAGTGACATTACCATCTCATCCTAGCGTTTCAGCTCCGGGGACGACCAATTGACCATAAAGCGCCTTAACGCCTTAAACAATGTATACCCACGAGAAGAAAAGGGACCTTATGGGTCCTAGGAAACAATCGTGCTGTGACGTCATAAAGTGGGACGTTTGATGTCACATACTTCTGTAATAAATGACCATGTATGCGAACTGTACAAAAATATCTTATTTTGCTCGCGTAAGTTCGTAATGTAATAAAAACATTATATCAAAACATTTCAGCATACGTTTCTACGTGCAATTAATCAGACATTATATCTAAAAACTGCAATTATTACATAAACATTTATAAGTCCGAACATAGACTTTGCATGAAACGAGTTCAAATAAATATAAACTGAAGCTTGTGGGTTGTATTTGTGTGTTCCTTAGACACTGAAGTTTTAAAATATAATGAAAAGTCAAAATGTGATTTTCAC